AGTGTCTGCTTCCAGCAGGATAACGCGCCGTGTCACAAAGTTCATCTCATAATAGTTTCTTGAACTTGACCTTCACAGTCACCAGATCTCAATCCGATCGAGCACCTTTGAGGCAGGAACAGCAGATTCACATGATGGATGCAACTGACTAATCTGACAAATCTGCAGCAGCTATGTGATTCTGTCACATGGTTTTAGACCAGAATATCTCACATGTTTCCAGCACCTTGTTGAATCTACGCCATGAAGAATTCAGGTCATTCTGATGGCAAACACAGGTCCAATCCAGCACCAGACCCTGAGGAAGCGCCCAGTGAATGTAGCAAGTAATAAACTCTTAATGGATTATAGTAAAAACATGCGACCACCATCCTCAACGTAACAGGTAAACACAAACCACAAGCTTTGACAAGCTGTAACTTATCCTGTTTATAATCAGCAGGGATGCTAAATGTGTACAAAACTGAATTATTCCCCTCACATAAGATAGAAAAAACAACTCATGAATACAACACTTGCATGTCATCAGCTTGTGTTATATGGAGCAAATCTCTAGAAGAATGTAAACACACACAGATCCTGTCGAAATAAACTGCAGAGCACTCGTACTTCTGTGTGGGTCTGACATTCGATCTGCACAGCATCAAAAATACATCCAAATGTGAGCCCTTCCACTCATGTACAGCTGTGATTTTCTTATCACTGGAGTCTGCTAGAGTAGCTTTGCATGATCCAGAATTCAGAATAATCCTCTTTTAATCTCACACTGGACCTTGTTGCAGTTCATCCTCTGATCAGTGCAAATCCACAGAAAGGCTAACGTCCTCAAAGTCACCCAGGTGAACATTCATGAGAGTCTAGAGACATGCCGAGCTGCAATCTACACCACCATCACAGCCACGCTGCATTAGCTGCTACAAGCTACGGGAAACTCTTGCATTTGACTCTTTGCACCTCTACAAATGCTGACTTGGATAATATTTAGCGTGAGTGCACAACAACACCGGATTTCATCATCCGCTTACTTGGTAGAAAGCTTGTTCCACGTATCTTGGACTGGCTGACATTCTACTTACTTTGTGTAATCTGAGACGTTATTAAAGGACAAAGAAGGTAGCTGCACCTTCTCCCACACAGCCACTCGATAAACAAACCCATGAAAACATGAGCTAAATAAATATCCTTCTGTATTTAAGACTGAAAACAAGGCAAACACATTTGAATTTAACCAAGTTAAAAAAGCAATTTCAGCAACTCCAGAAATGGACGCCATTCAACCTCCAGTGTCTTGCTCAGGGACACTCTGGCAGGGTGTTGTGGAGCTGACTGTCAGTGCAGCAGAAGCTCCACAGGCGCCCAAATAGGCCAGATGGTCATCTTCTCTTTCCCCCAGACAGAACACTCCCTCCTGGGGAAAAGTTCAGCACAACTCAGCCTGGCAGCCTGGAGATCCAGCAGCTCCTCCAACACACGCCAGCGCTCGCCTTCCTGTACATGTGAAGACAACATGCACATTCCTCTCCAACTTTGACTTCAACCTCTCTTAATCTCCTGACTAGCAAATTCTTGTCTTTTAATATCGTGTATTGTGGACTTGCTTACTCTTTAACTTCTGGAAGGAATATCATCAGGAAGAGCCCCACTGAGCAAACACACGAGTTGGCTGGGGTGGGTGAACACTGCAATGCACCACTCCTCTCCCTTCCCGATGCCTTCCTCCTTTCCTCTTCGTCTTCTCTC